CCAAGTAAGGCGAAGACCCCGATCTGCAGGGCAAGGGTGACCCGTAAGAGGAAAGGTCCTTCGGACCCCCACAGGAGACTGAGCAGCCGCACAGCGAGAATCCAGGGACTAAGAAAACGCAGAACAAAAATCGCCCACGGATTCCTCCTAATGCACATCGGAGGTGGGTCGGAGGTGGCGCGAGGCGGCGTGGTAGGTAAAGAAAGATCCAAGTGGCAAAGCCTGTGGAACAAATGCATTCCTGAGCTTTGGGGCCGCCTGAGATGGCGGCTCTCCCAGCTTCAAGCTGTCCCCCTCCATGGCCGGAGCCGAGGTGCTCAGAGGAGATGGCCTACTATGTGCTGAACACTGAGAATACGAAATCCAGAGGGAGATGGTGCTGGTCCTGTGTGGGGGAGGGCAGGAGAGTCAGAAAGCGATGGGGGTTGGGGAGAGGACACTGTCTAGATGGAAACGTCTGCAAGCATCTCCTCCCCTAAGAGACAGGAGGACGGGGAAGGGGCTTACCAGACTGGCAAAGAGACACGTCCAGATGCCACCAAAGGTGCATGCTGGGTGGCCCAATGGTTGGCTGCTGGGTCTGGCCTCAGGAAGACCTGGGTTTCAATCTGGCCTCAGGCACTTAGCTAGCAGCATGACCTTGGTTAAATCATTAAGCCACTGTTTGCCTCAGTTTCTTTTTCTGAGAAGTAAGCATAATAATAGTGCCTCCCTCCCAGGGCTGTTGTGAGGATTGGAGGAGATGGCGTTTGTAAGTGCTTGGCATCCTTTAAAGCATTGTATCAGCGCTAGCTGCATACATATACCCAGATGGGGATTCCAGTGGCCTCAGTGGGCATTTGGGAAACACTGGTCACATAGCCATTGCCACATTTTCAGGCTCAGTCAGCGTGGGCCTGTGGAGATCCTTTTGTACACATCTGTGGCCCCGATGCCACACCCTGGTGACTGACCCTGGCTCCGCCTGTTGAGGGTAGGAGGGATTGGATGCTAATCATCCCGTTGGGGAGCAGCTACACCCCAAATTCAGGGGTGGAGTTGCAGGTAAGGGAAATGTCTCTCCCAGTGCAAACCAGCGATGGTTCTGAGACACCAAGACTGGGCCTGACTGGTCCAGGGGCCCAGTATGAGTCAGATGCAAGATTTGAACCCAAGGCTTCCTGAGCCTCCCACTCTCTCATACTGCCTCTGGGGCAGAGCCCTCCCCCCACTCCCACCCCACCTAGTCTGATAGCCTGAGTTGGGTGACTCATACTCCTTCCCACTGCCAATGAGTCACTGGTTCTGGCTGAGAGCCTTGCGAGGCTTGGCCGGTCTCCTGGGGTGCCCCAGGCACTGGATGCTGAGACAGAAAAGTCCAGCCAGCCATAGCCCCCGATTCAGCAGCCCTCCTTGGAGGGGAAGCTCTCACACATTTACTGTGCTTGCATCTCCAAACACCCAGGCTGAGTCTTCTGAGGTGTAGTGTGCATGTCTATGTGATGGATAGTGAGCGAGATGAGGATTATGGGAGGTTAGTGCATAGGCAAATGTGGAAAGCCAGCTAGTCCCACCCCTCCATTTCACAGATGAAGGAACTGAGACCCAGGGAGGCGGAGAAACTGGCCTAATGCGGCCGTGAGAGTAAAGGCATAGGGAGACTCTAATCTCTGGCTCCAAACCCCACCCCTCCCAAGGCCTGCCTGGGTGGGGCCACATGTGGGAGGAGAGGGCCTGGCTTACCTTCCTGCCAGGCTCCTGCGACCAGCCTGGCCCCTGGAATGGCCTTAGAAGGCTGCCTGGGCTCACAGGGTTCCCATTGGCTGCCAGTGAGGTCATGGCTGTGGCGACTGTCCATTAACTGGAGTCTGTTTACCTTATCTTTATGTATGAACTCCATTAGGCTGCATCCCTAGGCAGGACCATCCGCACATTTCTGATGGATTATGTTGCTGCTGAGGTGGCATGTGAACACCGCAGGCAGCAGCTCCCCCTGGGAGCCCAGGCCCGGACTTGTTCCTAGGCCTACTGGGCTGGCCTTGCTGCTGAGGCCCAAGCTGCCCTGCTTTCTGCAGGAACATGCTGCTTGTGTCTGTGTGGCTTTGCTGCTGCTGCTTGTGATGGGAAGTTTCCTCTGCCCCTGGACGTCCTTCCTTTGAAAGCAGAGCTGTTCTGCCTCCTGGCTTCTCTGCAGGTGCCGGGAGCGGAAACACGTGTCCAGGCCCCCCACTACCCCAGACTTGGTGCGTCGTGACTCCAGTCTGCCAGCACGGGGAGGAGGAGATGGAGCGAAGCCCCCCGCGTGAGCGGAAGGCTCGGGAATCTGAGCTGGGCCCAGGCTCCCCAGAAGCTGACCTTTAAAGGAAAAGGTGCATGTCAAACCACTAGAAACAAAGTGAGACTCTTGGAGTCTGGCTGGAATCATCGTGGCCCCCAAGTGTACCAGAACATCCTTGTGCCATGAGAAAGGGCGAAAATGGGAAATCAGAGACCTGGAGGAGTCCTCGTGTGGACTGGTGCAGAGTGAAGAAAGCGGGATGTGGAAAGCCATGTGGCGGGGTGCTAAAAGTCAGCGACCCTTGGGGCTGGACCACCCCCCACCTCCCTAAAAGTCAGGAATCCCTGGTACCAAATCACTCCCCGCCTCCCTAAAAGTTGATGACCCCTCGTACCACATTGTTCCCCGCCTCCCTAAACATCAGAGACCCTTGGGGCCGGACCGCTCTCGCCTCCCTAAAAGTCAGCAACCCCTGGTACCAAATCGTTCCCCCCTCCCTAAAAGTTGGTGACCCCTGGTACCACATTGTTCCCTGCCTCCCTAAACATCAGAGACTCTTGGGGCTGGACCGCTCTCGCCTCCCTAAAAGTCAGCAACCCCTGGTACCAAATCGTTCCCCGCCTCCCTAAAAGTTGGCGACCCCTGGTACCACATCGTTCCCCGCCTCCCTAAACATCAGAGACCCTTGGGGCTGGACCACTCCCCGCCTCCCTAAAAGTCGGCGACCCCTGGTACCACATCGCTCCCGCCTCCCTAAAAGTCAGCGACCCTTGGGGCCGGACCACTCCCCGCCTCCCTAAACGGCAGAGACTCCTGGGGCTGGACTGCTCCCCGCCTCCACCTCTCAGGGCCAGGGCTGGCCTGCTGGGCCCCTCTCCTGAGCTTTCACTCTGCCTGTGATCCCTCCAGCAGTCAAATAGCTGCTTCTTTGGCTCAGTTGTTTCGTTTGTTACTGGAAAGGGGAGGTAGACCCTTGGTGAACCAGGCTGTAGAAAGAGCCTTGATAGAACTTAAAACGCTGATGAGAAACTGGCCTATCCTTGAGGTGGCGGGGATCTGTCTGGTGGAAGGACGAGGCTCCTCTGCCCTGTTCTCAGAGGCAGATGTCGGCTCACCCCATGAGGGACTTTCTTTAAAGTCGTAATCCGTGTTCACGTGGCCAGATTGTGCAAGAAGACACCGACAAAGTTGAATGTACAGGTCTGGGCCCCGTGGAATGAGCACCAGGGGCCATTGGGGCGGGTCAGGAAGAACCCCCGGGGGTCTGAGTGGACAGCAAGGTCATCACGAGTCAGCATTGTGGACCCCGTGAACTGGGTCTCTGGGCTCAAACCCTGTCTTGAGTGTTGAGTTCTGTTCTAGGGGAAGCTTCTTCTCACTGCTGCACGTGCCGTGTGGATGTGGCTGCTGTCCTGTGTCCCAGCATCCATTTTTACGTCCTTAGGCAGGAGTTGCCATGAATGGAATGTGGGGTTTAGAGTGGACTCGAGCTCAGTCTGAGTCAGCCTCCTGACAGGGCAGCCTGGCCTGGTCAGCCCCCAGCCGCTGGAGGCTGGCGTCCCTTCTGAGCATCCCGTTTCAGGGGGGTTTCGGGGATAACGAGGTGTCTACAAGGAGGCGAGGAGGGTGAAGGATCTCCAGCTCACGCGCTGCCAGCTTCTGTGGAAGGAGCCAGGGATGTTGCATCTGGAGGGAATGCTCGGGGTCACGGGTGGCTCCTCTCAAGTACTCGAAGGGATTAGATTTGGGCGCTAAGAACAGCAGCTGGACGTTCCAGGCAGGGGGAGTGTGGCCCCATGGAGGGAGACCCTTCCAAAATTTAGTGGGGCGGCAGGATGGCCCAGTGGGAGGAGCACAGTGTTTGGAGACTCCCACCTCCTGCCCAGGGCGCCCCGGGCAGATCCCGTGGCTTCTCTGAGCCCCAGGCTCCTCATTTCATAGAAGGAGGCAGCTGAAGCCCCTTCCAGCCAGAGCTCGGTCTGTGCTGTGTGACTCCAGCCAGTCAAAGCACTCCATCACTATTAGGATGTAAATTCTGGCCGGTGGGATCATCGCTGGAGATGAGTCACGGACACAGCGGAAGGGATTCCGACTGGGGCATGGCTGCCGGGGGCCCCTCCGCCTCTAAGGGTGTCTGCTTCTGCCCGGCCTCCCCAGGTTCTAGGGTTGTCCAACCAAAGCCCGGAGGGCCCGTCTCAAGAGAGGCTAAAAGGAGCGCGTGTGCGCTTACCCCTCCCTTCCCACTCTCGGGAGCCTGGGACACACATTCCTTTGGTTTGTGGTTGCTGCTGTCGAACGGCATTGTCTCGTGGTCAGCAAAGGCCCACAAGGAGGCCACCGGCCTCACGGGAAGGTGGGACGGATGTCCTACGCGAAGGCCACTGTGCCCAGGTGCTGCCCCGCGTGTTGGCTTGGGCGGGGGTCCTCTGGCTCCACGTTCTCATAGATGAGAGTTTACAGCAACTCATCAGGAGGGCAGCCTGGGTGGCCGGGTGTGTGTGCCAGGAAGGGACTCTTCTGCCAACGACTAGTGGCCCCCGGCCCAAGCCAGTGCCGTTTAGTGAGTGTCCTGTTTGTAGGCGACCTTTTCTCCTTTGAACAAAAGCATATTCATGTGGTATACACACGGGTGTTCTGGGCCTGGGGGGATAATGCACCTGCGCCGTAGTGAGGCTCCCATGCACCGAGGAATGCGAGGACCAGACACCTCCTTCATGCTCACGGGTTTTTCATTTTCTTTCAGGCGCAGAAGCAAAGCCTGTTTTGTCCAAGAAAGAGAAGATGAAGCTGCGACGGGCCAGGTGGCTCCAGAGTAAGTTGTCCTCTTGTTCTGCCTGAAAAGTCTGGGATGGTGGCTGCAGAAGGGACAGTGGCAGGGGCTCTGCTCACGCTTGTGAGCTGCAGGCACCCAGCACCCTGGCCAGGCCAGGCAAGGCGCAGGGTCCTCCTAGACTCGGTCCTCAGGACAACTCCTGGGGGCCCAGAGGGCCAGGGACAGATTCCATCTTCTAGAGAAGGAAGCTGTGTGTGTGGTGTGTGTGTGTGCGTGTATGTATGTAGTGTTGTAAATGTACGCGCATGTGTGTGTGTGGTGTGTACATGTGTGTGTCTGGTGTGTGCGGGTGTGATGGGTTGGGGCTCTCGACCAGCTCCCTTCTGGCTGCTGTTGGTACCCCTCCCTAACCCTGGATCGTCCTCGGCCCCTGGGCCCTGGATTGTAAGGGCTGGGGATGGAGACGCTCTGAGCAGAGGGCCTGGGTGATCTCTCCAGGCCTCTTGAGTCTTGAATTAAGGTAAGAAATTTGAGAGAAAGGACTTGGTTTATAGAAGAAGGCCTTGGGGCAGCTAGGTGACGCAGCGAATAGAGCTCTGGCCTTGGAGTCAGGAGGACCTGAGTTCAAATCCTGCCTCAGACACTTAATACTAGCTGTGTGACCCTGGGCAAGTCACTTAACCCCAATTGCCTCACCGACGACGAAAGCCTGGCGCCTCGCCTGCATGGCCCACTCTTGGCCCCTCTGAGCGGTCCCTTCGTCTTCCTCACGGACTGTTCTGTGAGCCATTGATGTGCCAGAGTCTGTAAGAAGGTGTGATATGTGTTTAAGGAAGTTCCCCCGGGACTCTTGTGTGTTGGCTCAGGTCACTCTGCCCAGCCTGGATCTCCTCCGGGTCTCCCTGTGTCCTCGTGTCTGCAGGACGTGGCTTCCTGGGCCCAGTGGCTCCTGGTCTGGTATTCCTAGTGCATCCGAGCTAGAAGGGGCCTTAGCAAGCCTGCAGCCCAAATGAGGGCCCTGAAGCCTAGTGGCTCCGAGAGCTAGGGTCAAGATGGGCACCCAGCCAGTGCTAGGCTGAGTCTGCTGTCATCAGCACCATGGACAGCACCATGAAGCAGAGGCTGGAATCTGGCAGCAACCGGAAAGCTCCTCCCTTCAGTGAAGATTTGGGATCCCCCCTCAGCCAGCCGGAGGAGAGGCTGGTCTGAGGGGTTCTCACAGGCCTGGTGCTGCTGCTGTTTGGGGTGGGAGAGGGAGGCCTGGGCTGTGCTGAGTCACCCAGGATAGGGCTGGAGGGAGGGCCCCCCCCCCCAGATGCTGCTGGTCCTTGGGCTCCAGGCGAGGGTTCAGCCAGATTCCTGCCTCCTGCAGGCTCTGTGTGGAGCTGCGGGGGTGCATTAATTCTTCCCATGTACGTGCTCCGCACTCCACTCCCAGTCCAGGTTTGGGGCCTGAGTTTGGAGGGAAGAAAAGGCAGAGAAGGAAGTCTGGGAGCCTTTGTTTTCTGCTCCCCCAGCAAGAATGCTGAAAGGTTAGGCCCAGAAGAATGGGCAGGTAGCTGCCCTTGGCGGAGTTCAAGCCCGCTCCCTCTTTGGCACGTTGCTTGGTAGCCAGAAGGTCTGACCAGGCCGTGGCCTTGCAACACCCTTTTCCTAGAGAGTGGGAAGGAAGCACCCTGTTCTGCTGTCTCTGGCCTGTGCCCTTCATACATAACTGCACACCTGGCAAGAGTTGGGACAGGAATTGAACCCACGCCTAGTTGTCTGAATGTCCAGAAGGCATCAGAGAGCAGAAGAGGCAGAGCAGGGTGGGGGCACTTTGGGTCAGACTCCTGCAATGCCCCACCCAGGGGATATAGAAAGAGCATTTCCATTCATAGAAGAGAGAGAAGCTGGCCAGGAAGGGCCCTGCCTGAGGGTGGCCAGTCAGTGCAGGCCTCCAGAGCAGGTAAATGGAGGCACCCCACTCGATGTAGGAGACCTTTAGCAGGCTGGAAATATTCCACTGGTGGACCCGCATTGGTTTCCAAAAACCTTTCCAAGACCCCACTCTCTGCACAAAGAGGGGCACCTGGAGTTAGAAGATGGGCCGAAAGACCCACCCTGCCCCCATCCCGGGCTTCCTCTTCCTCTGCAGTTTCCTCCTGGGGTAGGGGCAAGGCAGCCGGGGCTCTCCTGCTTGGGGAGGTCTCTGGGGCCTCCTCCTGCCCCACCTACAGTCCTTCCTCCACACTCAACAGTGGCCGATTGGCACCCTCCATGGGCAGCTGCCTGGACCGCCAAAGTTTCTGTGCTGCTGAGGGCAGCTCTCAGGACTGAACTGTGCATGGCCCAGGCGAGAAGCACAGCTCGACCCCACGCAAGATAGAGCCAAGATGGGCCGTGGGAATCTCGTCCAGTCCAGATGAGGAAACTGAAGCCTAGACAGGTGGGGTCACGTGCCTAAGATCCCAACTCATGAGGGGGGAAACCTGGGCTTTGAACCCAGGACAGCTGAGCCCAGAGCCAGCCTTCTGTCCACTGCCCCGCACGTGCCTGTCCAATGAGGAGGTTGTTCAGAAGTGGTTCCCACCATGTCCGATCGAGAACACCAAGGATGGCCTTCCTTTAGCGCCGAGCTGGTCCCAAGGCTGTTGTCGCCCCGTTTGCCGCCTCATCGACGTGACGCCTGTTTATGCCTCTGCAGCCTTCGGACTGATCAGTGCTTGGCAATGACGATAGCACATTTACACACAGCACTTTACAAATGTGAGCTCATTGGGTCCTCAGTGACCTTGAGAGATGGGGGCTGTTATTATCCCCATTTTATAGATGAGGAAACTGAGGCAGGCAGCAGTGAAGCAATTTGCTCAGGGGGAGACACTGCTCGGAAGACAAAGGGGGCTTCATTGGCTCCAGGGAGGGGCCCTCTTCCCCATGTTTGGAGGGGCGTCCATCCTTGGGGCCAGGCAGCAGCCTGCAAAGCTGACGTCCCCTCCAGAGGATGCTGTTGGGCTCATCTCTCGAGTGTCTGTGGGAGGGTGGAGGGCAGAAGTCCTGAGGTTTCTTGGGCCATTCTCGATTTGCTTGCTTGTGGTCGCTGGTCTGAGCTCGAGGGTTCATGGTCACCCGCTGGTAGAACCAGTCCTTCAGGACGCGGCTTCTTTCTGGGGTGCTCCCCTTCCTGCTGTCCTCACTGACGACCCTTCCCGCCCTGCCACTGCCCTGCGTGTGGTGGCCAGGGCTCAGGAGCTCTCGGTGACACCTCTTTTTCTGGGCTGTTTCTTCAGCTCTTTGAAGCTCCCTTTCTAAGGGACCCGCCCTTCCTGGGCAGGTTGGCATGGTCATGTTTTCCTTTTATTTTGGACTTGATAGACACCAAATTAAATGAGACTTTCCATGTACTAAGTAGAGAGGAGAAGGAGGATTGCCTGCAAACCTGCCGTCTCTGCCAGGCCACTGCTCACTTTTCTTTTAAGGGCATGGTAAACGCAGCCCATGCCTTTGAGAGCTGCCATCCTGCTCGCCAAGGGTTTGTCCACCATCCGGCTGACTGACCCAGGGTGCTTTGCGCCCCACTCCCGTTCTCTTGTGCTTTCTTTATAGACACTCCAGGGACCCTCTTCTTTTTCTTTCCTGTGTTCTTTCTGGCAGCACTCACAAGCCCCTGTCTCCCTCCTTCACCACGAAGGAAAAACAAACCCACCCTCTGCCACAAATGTGTCTCCCTTGAGTAAGACACACCTTTGTTGAAAAGCTTATTGTCTTTGGGACCATTCCCATTTAAACCATAGTCCTCCCAGGCAATTGACCTCTGCCCATGTTGAGTTTCTTCCTGCCATGAATCAGATGTCGCCTCAAGGACCAGAGTCATGCCCTGGTCAGGGTCAGGGACCAGAGCTGGGATGCAGGAGAGGCTGAGACAGGGTGGCAGCCCGGGCCAGGCCCAGCAGGCCAGGTGGTCTCTAAACTAGGAGCTGAGTCATGAGCCTGGCCAACAGTTAAAGCCAAGGTTGGTAGGGAGTGCGGGCTGGAGCTCAGGGGCTGCTGTGAGGGAGCTGGCAGCTGATGCAGTGCCACCATGTGAGAGGGACAGAGAGACCAAGTCAAAGGATGGGGGAAGGGAGGAAGGAAGGAGGTGAGAGAGACAGAGGGAGGAGGGGAGGAGACAGAGGGAAGAGAGCAGAGAGCGAGACAGAGAAGAGATGGGGGAAGGAAGGAGGTGAGACAGGGAGGAGACAGAGACAGAGAAAGGATGGTGGAAGGGAGGAAGGAAGGA